GGGGGGGGGGGGAGCAGAGCAAATGCCACAGAGTTTTGGGGAGAAACTCATCCAGTCGGAGAAACTTTTGGCTCCTGCGGTCTGTGCAAATGTTTTCCAAGTGTCCAGACACACTGCAGCCAAAGCTCTGATAGCGGACAGATGTTCCTGATTTTCCATAAGATGTTCTGCACCACTCAGCAACCATAAGAAAAAAACAATCATATTTATAACAAACATAGTAAAATGTACAGTGATCCTAAAAGTACCAAATAGAATCTGAAAAAGAAACCATAACCTTTGCTTCCTGCCAATGTGCTCTGAGAGTTTTGAACCACACAAACTCCAGTATGCCCATACAGCAGCAGGTCTATGCTGTGTCATATGAAGGCTATGGAGGAGGGACACACATCTGTTGCTGTAGCCCGAAAAGGTCTGTGTTATAAGAATCCACCACATTTCTATAAATGAGTCAGGCCCGCTGTCTTTGTTTTGGAGCATTTGCAGCTGTGGGTGCAGAGGAACAAACAGTAAACAGGCAGCACACACAAGACAAACAGTCACCTGCAGATGCACCTAAAACAGATGAATCACAGTCTCCCACACAAAGTGTAAGGCCTATTGTCCAACAAATCTCTGACAAACATTTAAGATACAGTGGCACACAGAAAAGGCTGTTTCTCATTGACTGGCAAGTTAAATTTCATTGTATGGAACATATTTAAAATAGCTCAGACCAACAGTTAGACCACTGTTAGTTCAGCATGATATGTTAACTCGTGGGTAACCAGAGCAACAATACTGTTGAAACTAACCTCACCATAGTTTCCAGTGGAGTCAGTTAGCCTAAGTGGATCCTGTTAACAGTGTTTGTGGCCATGGTTTAAACCTTGATAATGCACCCTTAGGTGTCCTGTTAAGATAATTCATTTAACATGATCACATAGTAAAACAAAATGGATGATGGGCTCCTATATAGAAGAATAATGGATGAAGTGGAGGTGGGAATTGCCATGAAAGTGTCATTTCTGCTTCAAATCTGTTATTTTCTATACTGGGATACTTTGAAAATAAAGGGGAAATTACTACAGTCACTTTATATTATTGAACGTTTGTAGTTGTTTAGGTTATTTTGTGGTAACACAACTTGAAACAGACCACTGTCTCCATGGTTACTTGTGGTTTAATAAACCAGCTCGTACATTTATTTAAAACTGTTCTTAAACTGTGTTTCATGACGTTAATGGACACCTGCTGTCCACTCTGACAGAAACATGTCCAATAACAGTGATAACGCACTCCAAATGTGCCGATGTAGGAAGTAATGGTTGTATCTGAAATATATTTTTAGATTGAATAAAACTGGCTGGGAACTTCATATGCGGGCTCTCTTTTGCAAACAGATGCACAGATGCACAATCTCACACTCACGTAGACAGATGCAGCCACAGACGTGCGCCAAATGTACAGTTCAGAGTGTGGGAAAAAGAGGACAGTGTGAAAGCCACCAAACCAGCAGAGCGGAGAGCGGTTTGTGAAGTGTTACACAGATGAAATGATGTACGGGTCGACAAACGGAGCAAACGGCCCGAGAGAGGCTGAGATGTACCCGGTGTGGGTTCCACATCTTTCTCTCTCTCTCGCTCTCCATCTATCAATCCATCACTTTCACATGCATTCTTTTTTGTCAACCTGTGTTTTTATCTGTCAATATCTATCACCACCTTTTCCATCTCTGTTTCTCTCTCTCTCTCACACACACACACACACACACACACAACACAACACACCACTCACAGGCACCCAGTTTACACGTGGCCGGGGGATTGGGGGGGGGGGGGGGGGGGAGCTGAGCGGCGTGTCAATCTGCGCACAGCGTCACCTCTTTTCAGTTGCAAAAAGGAAGTAGCGCAGGGCTTTTGTTATTTGAAGTCCCACAGTCTAGTCATGAAAAACAACTGGAATATATCCGCAGTTTATGATTTAAACAGCCACCTATAATCTCCTCTTCAGAGGTGTTGAGGGGTGCGACCGTTTGGGGTTTTTGTATTTTACTGTCCTCCCCATTTGGTTCGGAGGTAATCACTGTCTGGAGGGAACGCACTGAGCTCCCTGAGGAGGGTTTTTTTTTTTTGTTGTTATGAAAAGTTGCGTCCGCTGTTAATTTTAATGCCTCGCCTGAGCTTTAACGCTTTGGAGAACAAAGCTTTAAACTTATGAAACTGAGCACTCAGTCATCCGTCTCATGGTCACACTGCAGAAAAAGTTGGGCCACATATAGTTCAGGCAGCACGTAGCTGTAAACCGCACCCCGTCCTGGATGGTGGATATTATTATCAGAACCTTTTCTGACCCCATTTGACATGAAAGAAAGAAACATGATGCCCCTTAAAGACATCCCAATAAACCGTTTTGACTGGTGTTTTGTGTTTCAAAAGAAATGGTATGTGCTTAAAAATAGTAATGTAGCTGTTTTATTATAGCAGACTTTTTACTTTGAGTGAATATCCTCTCGGATGCTGTTCAGTAACCATTTACACCCTTATCAGTGAGACATGGAGAGGTCTGATGGACGTTTTGTTTCAAGTTCCTGTTGATGTTGATCCAGTGGCTGATCCTTTACAACGTGCTCGATTTCTCAACAGTGTACTGCTCCGGCAGCACCATGCCTCTGGCCTTTAGTCCGCTTCCTGTGGTCGGCTACGGGAGATCTGATACAGAGCTCACTGTAATATTGCTGCCGGCGGATTGTTTAATATTTCTGCAGCAACATTTGGCTCCCCCCTCGGAAGACCACGCCCCCTCCCTGCAGATTCACAGAGCCCTGATCCCTCCCCCTACCCAAGCCGGCAGCCTATAACCTCCCCGGGTTTCCGCCCATTCCTCCACAGTTGATTCTTTGGGATAGTATTGTCATGCAAATAAAGGACGCGTAAAATATTCCCCCAGAGCGCAGCGCAGGGCAGAGACTCACACGGACCGCGCGGAGGACACAGACCGGGCCACACGGTGGATTTGTATCGTTTTCGTCGCCACGGACCCGTCCATCTGTCACAGGTAAGTCACAAATGTGCAGTGGATTACATTTCCAGACATGTAAATGCCAAAAAAGAAAAGTCAAGCAGTGTGTCCGTGCGTAAACGTGTGCGCACGGACCTCTCTCTCTCTCTCTCCTGGATGTGGCGGAATGTGTGGTCTCCCTCGCAGTCTGTTGGTGAGGAATAGGAATTCATGCGGACCTCTCTTGTCTTTTTTTTGTGTATTTCCCAGACATCCTGGCCACATGAGCAGCGACATATAGCCAGGACGTGTAGCCAGGAACCAGGTCGGATCGTTCAAGGAAAAACCTGCGGAGGCTGCCCTGTGGAGATATTCTTCCACTTTCCCCAAGTGAAGTCGAAGGGTGTCTCTCTTCTCCATCCCCTGCTCTAGGCTACCTGCTGCTGCTACAAAGGGGGAACTACATCTAGAGACCCCTGGATCGCTTGAGAGCACACCCCTTTTATGATTTAGGGATTTAAGATCTCTTAAATATTAACATTTTTGCACACCACGTGTGTTATTTCCGCTCTTGTCCTTTTTGGGATATATACAGTGCTCCTTTTTTTCCCTTTTAGTACTTTAAAGTGCCTTATTAACTGGTTATAATCCAGTGTAACTGTGGCATTGTCACCAGACCAGAGACGCTCAACAGGGAGAAGACGATTATTATCAGCTTTAGAGCCCAGGCAGGATTACTGGTTCCCCACCCTCCAGCGAGCTGCAACCATGAGCCAGGCGGATGTGTCGACTTGCTCCGCGCCGCAGAGGGTTTTCCAGGAGGCGGTGAAGAAGGGCAACACCAAGGAGCTGCACTCGTTGCTGCAGAACATGACAAACTGCGAGTTCAACGTCAACTCCTTCGGGCCAGAAGGACAGACGGCCCTCCACCAGTCTGTCATTGATGGAAACCTGGAGCTGGTAAAACTGCTGGTGAAGTTTGGTGCAGATATCCGGCTGGCCAACAGGGAAGGGTGGAGCGCTTTACACATCGCCGCCTTCGGGGGCCACCAAGACATTGTTTTATACCTCATCACCAAGGCCAAGTACTCCTCTGGCGCCCGGTGATCTGTCTCTGCTGTCAGGTAAAATAAGAAAAAAAATAACAAATAACAAAACAACAAGTGGAAAATAAAACTGCAACACACGGGAAAGCCGGGCTCTTGTAAAAGCAAAAAAACAAAAAACAAACAAAAAAACTGCCAATATCTACATAGTTGTGCCAAATTATATAGAAAAGGAAATAAAAAAAAATAGGCCTGCACAATAATCTTCCCTCATTGTAAACCAAACGGGGCCCTCTGTGCACTCCTGAGTGAAGCACCGCATGGTTCATACACAGCGCTTCAACACGAATCTTTAACAAAAGAAACGCCATTTCGGTGAGTTTGTTGGTACTAAAGCTTTCCTCTTGAATGTGTATACTAGATCTTGTCGTCCACTATAAAAGAAGCCAGTGTCTCACATGTGTGTATGTGTATGTGTGTGTGTTTGGACCTCAGAGTGCAGATGGCCCAGTTTTCTTTTTCTATCCATGACCTCCCATCCCCAGTACAGTTGAATAGTTTCTTTGTGGGTGGCAGCAGATTTGACCTGTTGCTCCACCATTGTTCGCTTGGAAAACCCTTTTTTAAGTTATTTTATATGAAAACACGGCACTTGATGCTATATGGCTGCATGCTGGAATATCTGAAAGGGAAGACACATGAACAAGAGAAGAAGGGTTGCCCTCTGTTGGCTACCAGAGGTCTAATTTCTTTCAAAGTCATTGAATTTTTTTATTTTATTTTATTTTTTTACTCAAAGAGCAGCATTATGGCTATCCAACACGCTTTCAGAGGTGTAATCATTATCTAACAACAACTGACTCCATCATTGTTGTGAAGTACTGTACACAATAGCTTTACTTTTGTTTCTGTTTGAAGAGAGAAGAAGAGATAGTAGCTGAATACGCTCTGCAGTTCTTGCCATGCTGGCGTCCAACTTTTTTTTTTTTTTTCAGGCCAGTGCGTCCACTTTGCCAGTGGTCATTGTGTTATTAAAAAAAAAAACCCCGCTGCTTTCGCTTTGTATCAAAAAAAAGTCGCATTTGGAAATCACTTTATAATCTCCTTTCAGTATTTTATTAACATCCTAGTCATCACTGTGAAAGCAGGCTGGGTTTTTTTTATATTTTTTTTTATTTATGAAGGTACATTGAGAAGATGCATTTTTTTTTTTAATATGTTGTGGTTCTTTTTTTTTTTTTTTAATCTGTAAGTGTAAGAATATCTAGGGGTGACTCAAGCTGCTTCAGACTCGTAGTATAAACTGTCCCGTGTGGAGGTAGATCTGCCACCCACCACCCCCCAGAATCCCCTCTGTTATAGCCTGTTGACTCTCAAGAGGACTTTCTCTCCCCCCCTCCCTCCTCTCCCCCCACCTCCCATTAAAAGGACTTTGTTTGGTTGCCTTTTGCCAGCTACCTCGACTATAAAGTATTCTCAAGTTGTTCAGCTGTCTCACCACTCTGCCACGTTGTGTTTGCAGTCTGAGGAGATTCACAATTTGTCTGTGATCATCCGCGTGCCAGTATGTTTTTTTTTTTTTTTTTTGCTATGTAGCCTATACCTATATATAACAGACACGATGGACTTAATACAGAAGATCCAGTGAACCAATTTCCTGCATCCTCAGTCGGGACAGTTTATTCTACACTACAACCAAACCAATTCTGACAAGCAAAGCATCGTTTTGCCTTTTTTCTGCGAGGGAGTCTGTGGTTCTCTCTCTCTCTCTCTCTGTCTGTCTTTCTGTCTGTCTCTCTCACCTCTCTCTCTCTCTTCTCTCTCTTACACACACACTGCCATTGTGCATGTTTTCCTAATAAACATCCACTTGCTCTCTTCTCTCTCTCTTCTCTTTCTGTCTTTATCAGCCTGTATGGTTGTTTTCTATATTTTTTTCAGTCATACAAAAATGGAATTTTATCGCATGACTTATAAATGCAGGGAGTTTTATTGCACAAAAATGCGGAGCCTTGTGCGCCCCCAGTGTCTGTACGGGGTAACTGCAGGAGCCAAGGCTTTGGAATAGTTACTACTACTGAGCAGGACCCTATTACTGTTGGACGATGAAGACTTAAGAAAAAAACAACACATGACTTTTGCAGGATGTCACAGAAAAGGAAGAGAGAAAAAAAGAATTTGGTTTCACAAACTTGCCTGCTGCATTTTCAAAGTCATGGCACCCTAACATTTGTATCAATGCTGCTTGTATGTTTCTTTTTTTTTTGTTTTGTTAATGTTGATGTTATTTTTTTTAAAGCCTTACTGCTCAAATGGCCAACAGTTGTATAGAAGCTTCACAGCAGCAGGTCTACCTATAGAGAGCATTGTTGGGAGACGAGAAAGCGGTGGTGTGGTGTTGTGTGTGTTTAGTGTGTGGTGTGTGTGGTTTAATTGAAGTGTGTGTGATCTGTGTGGCCTTCTCATTGAGCCCCACCTGGGTCGCTGTGTTAAACAGTCATCCAGACTGACAACCTCCCATTTAACTCTGAACAACACAAGTTAACTGAAAGGGATAGATCAACTACATCCAAGGTATAGATTGTATCAGGCAACAAGAAATATGGCATCGCTTGTCTTAAACTTGATGTTTGATGTTTTTTTTTCTTTTTTTTTGTTTGAATATTGCACTGATGACTGTTGTTGAAAAGTTGGCTTTTATGTGTCAACATTCTAATTTTTTCTGAATAGAAAAAAACAAACACAACAAAATACTATTGTATAAATATATGCTCCAGGTGATAATGTCCTAATGTGTGTGTTACTTTGTGGAAAAAACATGATGTTTTTTTTTAACAAAGATGCGTGTATCTCTGTGATTGGGTGTATGTATATATACAGTACATATGGATATATATATCGACGCTGATGATGATGATGATATCTTGGGGCACTTTCTTTTCTGAAGTGCTGTCTTCCTGTTTTTTTTGAAAGGGGAATAATACATTTGATGGTAAGATCATTGTAACATGATTAAAAATTGCACGGTTGTGTGGTTGTTTGGCTTACCAGGGTCATAACATTTATGACGTAAGGAGCCAGCCGCCGGATTGGTGTACATGAGTGAGATGATTTTTTTAAGAAAAAAAGAGAAAAGTGCTGACTTCTTTGGACCAAGTTGAGTTTCTGGTCTTGCTTCATTTCAAGCAAGGGGAAACAGCTGATTTTTCATGAGTGATGCAGATGTTCCATCATGTTTGATTCGTTTTTGTTTGTATTCTTTTATTTTTGAACGTTTGTAACACTGTGATGATGACGTGATGTCATGTGGAGATGAGTGCTGTATTATTTTTGTACGTTTGTGTACAAGCCAGTAAAGAAATCATTAAACTCAAATTCTCTGTGTATGCATACATTTCTTCCTCATCTCCCGAGCAAGCTGCCCCTCCTCCCTCGCTCCCTCCCTCCCGCCTTTTGCATTAGAAAAGGTTGGTTTGGGAAACACACCCCTACCCTCCTCTCTCTTCTCCCTCCCCTGTCTTCCAAGCCGGGCCCAACCCAGATCCCCATTCTCTCCTTTTGTCATTCATCTGGCCTCATCCTTTCACTGCCGGGATAAAAGAGCCCAGTGCATTGTGGGTAGGCTCAGTTTAAAGAAGGGTCCCCTCCCCTGTGTGTGTTGTGGGAGAGCTGGTTTTATGTTACCCCCACACACTCAAAACTTTCCAACACACACTCCTCTCTTGTGCTCTCTTTCTAACGACTAAGGCCCAGTCTTTGCACTACAATTCAGCTTTCTGCTAACAACCTGCTTTTGCCTCACTTGAGCATGTCTTTCATTCATCAGCTACATAGGCTTTTTAAAAATTATCTTTGTTCCTTTCATTTTACTAACCCCTTACCACAAGTTGTGTAACTATGCTTCTAAAAAAGACTCGCTAATTTGCATCAGTTGACGGGAACAAACCATTCATACTTGTTATTTATATCTATTTTTGTGATTTTCTTTTCTCAGGAAATATGTGCTCGGAAGCCTTCTAGCCTCTTTTAATGATGCATGAAATAACCCTGAAAATGGTCGTTTAAACTGTTAACCACTCTCACTTAATTTGGACTGATCATGAGTCAAAAAACTGGAGCGTGCGTACATTTGCAGCCAATAATTGTTAGGAAACACTGTGTTAATGTGTGCATATTATACTGACCAATTAGCTACATTTTTCTTTTCTTTTTTTTTTTTTTTACCATTTTCTGTGCTGCAGGGTTCAGGTTTGACTTCATGTTCTTTTAAAAAACTGTACTGTAGCAATGGTAGAAACTGAGTTACATTTTGGCCACATGGATTCATTCATCTCAGCACCTTTTTATATGAAATTAAACCTTTGATTGAGTCATGCTCTCCGCGTTTCATGCAAATGCTGAGTTGCAACTGATATTGTACAGCTGTGGGAGGGTCGTGGGAAAAGCGACATGACAATACATCTTTCTACATGTCGGACCTGTTCGTGTTGTAACATTTACTGGGTGTTGACCTGCAGCTAACTGAAAATGTTTGAGCAAAGAGGGTTTCAAATGTGATGAAAGTAACGGTTGTGGTTAGTTTCCATTTCAGTATGAACCCTGAATTTAAGGGAAAAAAGGGAGTAGTATCTTACATCTGGTCTTCACTGGCGAGTAAAAGTTTGTGCTATTGTTAGAGCAGCCTTGCTTTCTGGGCTGCAGCTGAACCATCTATGACCTCAGCTCAAATGTTCTGCACCGGCCACACCAAGCGCACCAAACTGATGCATTTCTTTGTCTAACTCAACACCAGGAAAGTTAGCTCCTCTAAACACCAGACCCTCTGTGTTTTGATACCGTGGCAGGCCAAACGGGCTATCTGCCTTGCTGCTCGCTTGTCCTTTCCTCTCTCCCTCCCAGTCTCTCACTTCTGCAGGATGTTTTTGTTGAGCTGGGTTCCCTATTGTTCACACACTGAGTTGGCTGGCCTCCCAGGGTTGCTGCTGGCTGCTAGGCCCCCTAATAGGTTCTTCATGTGCCTTGGCTTTCCTCACTTGTCTTGGTCTGGCCTTTGCATGGAGCGGCCTGCTTTAGTGAGCCAGGCAACACAAGGCATTTTGGGAGGAATTTTGCAGAGAAAAGTGCGAGAAAATCAGATGAATAATTTGTCTGGGGGAATCTTGTCAAGTCCAAAAAAACGAAGAGAGTTGCATCAAAATCACTTAATCAACAAAGTAAACAAGCCCCATTGACAAATATAACCAGTTGTCGTCCTGTGTATGTAGTGTTTTTGTATTTCACAGATAAATTGAGTAAAATATTGTTGATGTTATAGCAGCTGCAATCAAGTGCATCTGTGTGGTTATTTTCCATCTCCATTCAAAAGGCCATTGTTCAGAGTCTCATAAAATATTCATATCCATGCTTACACCCCTCATTTGAAGGGTTACACTCAATCTGTAAGACACAAGATTAACTGAACATCTTGTGATACGTGTAAAATGCAATTTAATTGGTTTTGCAACACTGAATTCCTCATTTTGTTCGTGTTCAACTTGTGTACAATGATAGGAGCTTTGATTGTGAGATCCTGTGTATGACTTCCTCAAAGTACCTCGGTATTGACACAATTGCCGTCTGAGTAAAAACGTAATACAAACGGCTTGTTTGAATGTGATCTGTTTTACATGTAGGGTGAGAACACATATGAGGAACTTTTACCACCAGTGGAGTGATGACAGCCACATAAAGAGGAACTTAGAGAAGTGTTCAACTGTTGTTATCTTGAATTAGGCAATGTAATAGTTTGTGATTTTACTTCACATGACATTTGGCTTCCACATGACACCTGTGATACTGTTTAAATGACTTCAGGTTAGAAAAGGTAAACCAGCTTTTTTTCTCTCAAGACAATGGAAAGTACTTGTAAGACCCTATCTAGCCCCGTGACAGGATTTTCTATTTGCCACTCAGTGTCAGCTATTAGAGCTGGTTAGCTTTCTGTGTTTTCCTTGAAGGACACTGGGGCAATAACTATAACCATGGCAGCTCAAAGTCACTTTATCTAAACTGGATTTCTTTCAAGTCATGACATCTCCCAAAATGTGTCTTAGATTCTACTTGGGATTAAAGCCACACGTGTTTTCCCTTACATTATAGTTTCCCTTAGTCTCCTGTCTCCTGTTTTGTTCCACCTATTAGGGCCAACTTCCACCTGACTAGAGGCCTGATCAGTCAGAGTAATTGAAAATACCTGTGTGGGTGTGCAGGGCCTTTATATATGTTTAATATGGCACAGAGGGACAGTCCTGGCATGTACTTAGTGTTCATGGCTGCTTTGGAAATTTTCCTCAACGTACACACCTGTCTGCCTGAGGCCTCATTCATAAAGATGTTCTTAGACTTTGCATGTGCTCGACTTTTTTATAGGATGATATCAAACAAAGAAACACTGCTAAATCATAAAATATTCACCCTTTTAATTTTGGTATTTAAATCAATTTTATATTAAAAACAATTTAAAGTTTTAACTGCACGGTTGACAACATTTATGTTATTTTACAGACCTGTAATTTTTTTTTAGTAACAGAAATCTTTAATTTACCAACTTAATGTTATA